TTTTCTAATAATTTGGCACGCTCAAATCACCGTGCTGATAATAAATATGGTGCCAGTTTGTTTACATTGCGCAGATCAGTACGAAAAATTCAGTGATTGCGTAGGTCAGTGTTACCAACGTTGTGTGAAAATTTTGTGTGAATTGATTGGAGGGTTTTTGAAATATTAGAAAAAAGTTATCTCGATAATAATTTGGCACGCAGTGTATATGTACATGAAATAACATATATATATTATATATATATATATATATATATATATATATATATATATATATTTATTAAATATATATATTATGTAATATAATTTCTCACGTTTGAGTACGATTTTATTTGTTTCATCCGAAACGTCCCTGTTTCTTTGTACTTTGAAGTATTAATACTCTGACTTAATATTTAAATTTTGAAAGGGACCTGTTCCTTTTCCAATGCAGCTTCCGATTACAGCCTCCATATTCTGTCGTCTGTTAAAAAACTTCCCAGATATTTAAACTTCTGTATTGTTTGACTTTGACATCGCCATTTCTTGATATCTTTCTCTTGCTGAGATCAATACAATCTGTCTTTTTACAATTGAAATTTAGCCATTTTTTCTAGCTTTCCTTTATAACCTTATTAAAGAGCTCATCGAGTTTCCTTCTGCGACTGCAATCAACATGGTTTAATCTGCATATATATATATATATATATATATATATATATATATATATCATCATGGTTGATAATAGCTTCTGCGTCTGCAATCGACATGGTGTAATATACATATATATATATATATATATATATATATTCTGATTTCAGTTCCACATACACACGCAGAAAAAAAGAAAAATACTGGATTTTAAAATTAAATACATATAAACTAGGGTTAAATAAATGCTAGGGTATTTAAAATCTTTATAAATATTTCAATAGTTAAACATTTTTTTAGATATAGTTAATTTTTTTAAAATTTTTTTAAACAAATTCTAAAATATTATTACAGTTAGATTTACGTTAGGAATATTAGAAAACAGTGCCGTTCCATATCACGAGACGTCCGCGTCTCGCGACGGACGCTACTTGTAAAGAAACAGTTATTTCTGAAGAAAGATTGAGGTCAATCTGAAATATCAAATATATATATAAATAAATAGATACTTTAATAAAAAAAACATTATTAAACTTAAGTGTGACCTTGTTCAAATTGTTGATTGCGCTTTTTTCCAGAAACCGGAACTAAGGTCTGCTCAACGTAGTTGTAGTATTAACTAGGCTCTCTGGGTGTTGAATAAACACAAATGTGCCTGAGAAAACGTCTGCAAAAGGGATTGTCTAACCACCCTAGTAGACGAGTATCCTCGATTGGCCAGCTATACATATTGTCATGGTTGTGTCTATCGATAATAAATCCTATTAGACCTTCTAGATGTAATAAAAACGAGGTATTAAATGTATCTAAAAATAAACCTTGATACGACAGGCAGCTTTTATTAAATAAATATATGGAAATATTAATTCAGTCTAAAGATTGCTTAGACAGTTACACAGCGGATGCTCATAAAATATACACAAATAAATTTTAAATAAATTATATTAATATTTACATTTTAAATAGTTTTCATAATGAAAATTCGTTGTAAATGGTTTTACTATAGAAATACACTGCAAATGATTTGATATATAAATGTATTGTAAATGGTTTTATTATAGAAATACACTGCAAATGATTTGAATATAGAAATGCATCGTAAATGGTTTTACTATAGGAATACACTGCAAATGATTTGAATATAGAAATGCATCGTAAATGGTTTTACTATAAAAATACACTGCAAATGATTTGAATATAGAAATGCATCGTAAATTGTTTTACTACAGAAATACACTGTAAATGATTTGAATATAAAAATGCATCGTAAATAGTTTTACTACAGAAATACACTGTAAATGATTTGAATATAGAAATGCATCGTAAATAGTTTTACTACAGAAATACACTGTAAATGATTTGAACATAGAAATGGGTTTGCATTAAAGCTGCTTGTAACGGATTTTATTATGAAAATACATTTTAAATGATTTTTTAATTATAGATTTCAATTGTACGTGATTTATCAATGAATATGTGTTGTAACTTATTGCGCTGTACAAATGCATGGTAAAAGATTTTACGATAAAAATGTATTATAACTGATAATAAAATAAAAATGCATTTTAAAAGATTTTAACATATAAATGCTACAATATATTTACATATTAGAATCTTTATTAATGATTTCTTGATTTACTCTAGAACACCACGGAAAATATTTTACTGAGAAAATGAATTGCAGGTGATGTAAGCGATAATAGCTCTCCACAGATTCCTTTTTTTATCAGGAAATAACAGGCAAAATAATTTTATCCGTAAATCTATCTATTGTTTTCTCCCTTTCAATGCTTATACAGTAGCGGCCATAATATAAGGAACGGAAACAACAAAGACATAAATACGTGTATTACTTAAAATGTAATGCATGATTAGCAATGAAATTTTTAACGAATAAAGATTAGGGTGTAATGCATAAATATTATACAAAGTTACAAAAATTTACATGTATCTACTGTATGTATACAATGTAAGAATGAAAACTGTGAGAGAGATTTTAAGCGATTTTGAATTTCTTATCTATGACAGATGTCGATGTTCGATTTCTGTTAAAAGATTTTGAATATTGCATTTGCTTGCAGGCAGCTACAAACGTTTATAAGATTCTGATTATTTTATGCGAATGTCAATTCAAGATTTAGGCCATTATCTCTCTCCACAGCACATCTTCCCATCCTTTGTAGCTCTTAGCAATGTATTCCGCTTCTGTAAACATACAAAATTGGATCATTATTATCGGGGTGGGAGGGATCGCAGACTACACATTAATATTATTATTAGTAGTAGAAGTATTATTTCCTTTGATTTCTGTTCTATACTCATTTCTTTACTGGTCCAAGCCAGAGACCTTAGGTCAGAAATGGCATCATAACATTTCCCACTGATTATTTTTGAAAAAAAAAAATGACAAAAAAAAAAACAAAAAACAAAACAAAAGACAAAACAAAAAACGTAAAATCACACACATTACGTAAGGGGTGAGCTGTAATTGTGAGTACAATATTTTGTTTTTCTTTAAGGTTTGGGCTATCAGGAATCCCTTCAATGAATCTATTGGAACTTTTTCTAATCAATCCGAGAGCTCCAACTGCAATTGGAATTATTGATGTCCTCATACACCACATTTTTAATATTTTCACTTCAAGATCCTTGTATTTTGATAGTTTTTGAATACTTTCTGTTGAAGCTTGGATAAGCATGGAATAATAATAATACAACACAAAATGTACGTAAACAAAATGTATTGAAACAAGGAAAAGGTACACAATATTTACAGTTAGTTTTGGTATATTCTTGGGAAGACTGTTCCTGTAGAATGGGTTGACTTAATCGCAGTCGGGCAGAGTCTCTCGATTGGATCTCTTCTTACTTCTTCCCTCGTCTTCCCGGTACCAACCCATATTTATATGGTCGGTACTCCACTATGTAAATTAGGTGGATCGTACCACAACACTTTCAAAGATATATTACAGTCTGTAGGGACTGTCATATCAATAAGAAAGTACATTGTGGTCTTTGATCACGATGTCTGGGCGATTACCTTTGATTTTTCTGTCTGTGTGTAATGTAAAGAAAGCTCTATAAAATTGTTACACGTCCTATCTCTGTTTTATTAGTAGTAGTGCGTTCTAAATTGAAATAGAAATTCGTTAATTTTTCAGTTTATAGCACTTTAAAAGACTTTTTCCAAAGAGAAATCTCGCTATTATGTTCTGTTTTCTTTTATTCTCTGCATTACGAACAAAAATAAGAATCCTTATACAGGATGGTCCGAAAGTCTTGCCGGCCCTACATAATATGATATAATTTTCTATTTCTAATCTCTGTGGGATATTATCAAGGAGAGAGTTTCACAAGTACTATACCAGAATGTCTATCACTTGAAGGACGTCGTTCGGAGTGCTTTTGCAACAATCAACAAAGTACAGCTTCGTAAAATATCACACAAAACATGGCGCCGCATCATTTTGTGCCACGACAATGATGGCGTTCATACAGTCCTTCTCGATGTGTGATATCGTCAATGAGAATGAATAAACTGAATCCAGTCCATGTGTTTTGTATTACTGTATTACTTTTTTATTGTTTTCGTTACTTTTTGTAGTGAGTGACAAGTATTTCGGACAACTCTGTAGAATAGAATAATAGGAATTGGTTTTCGATTTACACCATTTTGTAAAATACGGTAAAAACCTGCATTAATGTAGCTCTTTAACTCGCTCAAAAGAAAACGCTCGAAAGAACGCGGAATATCTGTAATAGACAATAAGAACTTACTCTACAATAACCAGTAAGCTGTCCCATCCGGGTCCAATAGTATTGAACCAAAGATATTATGAATACAAGCACAATAGGTAACCAGTGGGCTATAATGTGGCCATTGATTTCCTGGTACAGCCGGAAAGGAAGAAGAAAAGAAACATTTCTAAATTTACGCGGGAAGAAATAGAGGCGTTGACAAAATGGCTGCTGTTTCTTTTTTATTTGCCAAAATGGCTGCCACTCCCAGTTCGTTGCCGACTGAAAAAAAAAGAAAAAAAAAAAGAGAGAGCGCCAGGCCCGTAATTGAAATTAACAATAGGAAGGAAATTGAAAATAAAATAGGACAAAAAAATTCAGTGAATAAAATGTAAAGAAGTGGAAAATACAAGTTTACAATTGCAAAAAAAGAAAAATGAAAAAAAAAAACAACTTAAAAGTGAAAAATAAAGATTTTAAAAATGATTGTGAGAAAATCGATGCAATAAAAAATGTTCTAGCAGAATTGTGGACTTTATCAACATTTTCTTTGTAAAACGAAGAAAGGTTGGTTGTGTTTGAAAAGCGACTGAAGTTTTGAAAGGAAGGAAATATTTAGAGCGTGATGGAAATTAAAGTAGAATTATAATATGAAAGAAAGTGGAATGAAAAACAGTAAGATACGGAAAGGGATAGATAGATAGATAGATAGATAGATAGATAGATAGATAGATAGGAACAAACAGATAGATAGGTAGGTAGGTATGTAGATAGATAGATAGATAGATAGATAGATAGATGGGAACAAACAGATAGCTAGCTAGGTAGGTAGATAGATAGCTAGGTAGGTAGATAGATAGATAAATAGATGGGAAAAACTGAGATAGATAGATAGATAGATAGATAGATAGATAGATAGATAGATAGATAGATAGATAGAAAAAACAGACTGACATAGATAGATAGATAGATAGATAGATAGATAGATAGATAGATAGATAGATAGATAGATGGGAATAAACTGAGATAGATAGATAGATAGATAGATAGATAGATAGATAGATAGATGGGAATAAACTGAGATAGATAGATAGATAGATAGATAGATAGATCAGAATAGAGTAGAATAGAGTAGAATAGAAATAATAAAGTTTTCTGGTAGAAGCGAAGGAGAAAAAACGACCCCCCCCCTAAAAAAACAAAAAAACAAAACAAAAAACAACTAGCAAATAAATAAATTCCACAGGAAAAGATAAGGAATAAAACAATAAATATAAAGGAAAACAAATGTTATAAAGAGAATAGAGATGGTTAAAAGCGGAAAGAACAATTGAACTTTTTTAAGAGAAAGAAGTAAATATATATATATATATATATATTTATTTTTACTTCTTTCTCGGAAGAAAAGTAGGAATTGCTTGATATCTCCTAAACTCATTGTTCACTCTTTACATTTTTAGCGCTGTTTAGGGATGTGTTAGTTTGCTTTCATATATTTCCCAGATGCTTTGAAAACTATTTTTTTAGTTTATTTTTGTGTCTACTAACATCAAAGCATTGTAGATACAATGCGCCTCCTATAGCGACTGAAATATATATTTACTTTCCAACGGCCAGTGTTCGATCCCAGCTGGAACAATCGATAATTTGAATTCTGATTTTCAACTAAAATTGCTACACTATTTACAAGATTAGACCACTACAAACTTCCTACCATTACTGATTTCTACTAAACTTAAAAAAAAAACTCAAGAATAGCATATACGATTTTTTTTTTTACACTATTTGCATTGTTGTCCTCATCTTTGTCTCCATATTCATTACAACGTTTCGGCCGTTGTACGCTCCGGCCTTCTTCACCTGGTAATAAATATGACGACAAAGATGAGGCAATAGTCCGAATAATGTAAATACTGTACATAATACTTCCTCTCAGAAATATAGACAGATACTGAAGGGCCGAAAGGTTGTGAAAAATATGGCCAGAAAGATAAGGACAATAGTCCGAATAATGTAAATAGTGTACATAATACCTCATCTCAGAAATATAGACTGATACTCAACGGCCGAAACATTGTAATAAATATGGCGACAAAAATGAGGACAATAGTGCGAATAATGTAAATAGTGTACATAATACCTCATCTCAGAAATATAGACAGATACTGAAGGGCCGAAAAATTGTGATAAATATGTCAACAGAGATGAGGACAATAGTCCGAATAATGTAAATAGTATACATAATACCTCATCTCAGAAATATAGACAGATACATTTTTTTTATTGAATGATTCGTTTTCGACGGCTTATCAACACATTTTAGGGGGGGGAGTTTTTTTTTAGGTAATAATGAATTTGCGATACAAGTATTATTAATTAACACATAGTTGTTGGAGAGATTCATATCTTTACCACGGGGATTTGCGCGCAAGTGAATATGATAAACCCAAACAGGAATTGGAACTCATCTCACCAATTAAAAATTTCGAACCTTTATCCACTATATCATCTGCATATCCAAATTTAGAGCATATGTTATTCCCAAGAGGTCACCCATCTTGGTTCTGACCAGTCTCGACTTTCCTTAACTGCGGTGAACGTTCGGAAACCGGTCATTTTTTCTTTATTATTTCACTCCAAGAAAGGCAACAAAGCCATTAAGACGTGAGTGGTTACTGAGATTATGATAATATGAGTAACGAAGGCATTATTTAGGAAAGAGAAAAATAAATGAACAGGAATTAAGAAGACAGAAGATAACGATTAATATTGCATTTAATTATTGGCGGATCAAAATTGACTGGAAAGCAAGAAGCCGGAAAAAAGTTCCGCAAGCGAGAAGTGCAAGAGAAGAAACTGTTAGCATAGAACTTACGGTTGCATTCAGCCATTTCAACTTTAAAATGATGCGACCATATCCCGATTCTACTACTACGCTTGCAGTCATAAAGTCTAGGTAGTAAATTGGAAAACTAATCAGAACAATTACCATGGCAATATTTATGGAATAGGGCGGGGAAACTACGTTACGACGGTGGGAGGCCGAGATGTCACGTCTGGAACAATAACATTGCAGATTCCTCTAAGTTGTTTATCATGGATCTTTAAATCCCTATAAGAATCATCTGACCAGAAGTTACAGCAATATTCAATGTATGAACGAATGGTAGACATATAACTTTGTAAGATAGTTTCTGGCCAGACAAAATGTTTAGCACGACACAGTGAACCAACTGTTCTAATATCAGGCCAGCATTTGATTCTATATAATCTTTTCATTTCATGTCAGCGTAAAGTGTCACTTTACTGGGGGTTAGCGTAAGACATGATAAAAATGTTTTCTTAGAATATGAACAGAAAACAGATTGTAACTTAATTTTGAGATCAGCTGCTAATTTGACAATTAACAAGCCATTCCTTGCCCCATTTAATAACAGGTTGTGTACCATTTTTGAGATCAGCTTCTAATTTGATCTCATCGAATCGATTGTACCTAGTATTAAGATAGATGTAAATATTTTTATCATCAGCAGGGAAAACGATTTGGAAACTGATGTCATCTAGAAGGTCATTGATGAGACCTCGCTGCCAATCTAGTACGGCGCTTAAATTCATAAAGTGTAGGTACCATAAAAAAGAGCTCATCCAAACGTTAAAATTAACAAGCCGTTCCTTGACCCATTTAATAACAGATTGTAGATACCTAGAAGGTTACTGATCACTTTACATGTTTATTAATTATTTTTACGGGAATATTTGTTGGGGTTAGGTTTTAAATAGCATTAATGAACCAAGTTCAAATTCAAAGTGGGACTGTTTATATTTATTCTAATTGTTATTTTAAAATGATTTCTTAAATGCAATATTATATATAGTACCGCGCTTAAATTCATAACGGTTAGGTACCATACCGAAGAGCATATACAAACAATTACCATGAAAGTATTTATAGAAAAGATGCTGTCTGGCAACCTTGCTGCGGTTGGAAAGTGACTAAAGCCTAGCTACAAGATGAAGACCAATAATATTGCTGATTCTTCTTTGGATTTTATCAAAGAGCTCAAGGTAAATAGTTGGGACACAGAACCATATATGGCAGCAATATTCTAATCAATTAAGAATGTTAGACTTATAGATATCCAAGGTAGATCATCTCAATAGCGAAGAATTCATATGAACAATTACGATGAAAGTCACTGGGAGGCAACTTCACGGCAGTGCGAAAGTGACTGAAGCCGAGATGCCAGATCACGACTAATAATATTATTGATTCTACTTTGGATTTTATCAAGGATCACTAGATATAAAGCAGGAGTTCTGGATCATATGTGGGCAGCAGTATTCCAAGCATGGACGAATGGTAGACATACAGATATGCAAGATAGATTCAGGAGAGAAAATTTGTCTATCATGATACATTGAACCAACTTTCTTAGAAGCTGACCTAGCAATGGATTCGCTACTTTCTTTTCACTTCATGTCAGCCGTGATCGTTTGCTAGAGAAGGCATAGCGAGTCAATCTCATGGAGGTTAGCATCAGCCATGCTGATGAAAGGCAGAAATGGACCTCTCAGACGATTAATAGAGAGCAGTTTTCTTTTGGAGGCATTAAGTTATTCTTTGTCCCATTGAACAACAGATTGTAGGCCATTCTTGAAATCAGTTGCTAATTTGATCTCATCGAATCGATCGTACTTACCTTTCAGACAGGAGTAAATATTTGTATCATCAGCATAGATAATCATCAAGTCATAAATTCGAAAAATGATGATTAACAGGAAGTCTGTACACGTCGTTTGCAGGCAGATTTGTAACTGATAAGTCCAATGCAGCACCGGTATATACGGTCGCAGTACTTTCAGATTAAAGTCCGGCCTGAACTCAATGGCATACCATAGCAGTACTTCTTCCTCTGTCTCTTGTCCCTGAGAGCAGCCCTGCAGTTATTTTCAAAGAAGGAGACAGCATAGTTGGTGGTGAGATGCCAGGCGTCACGGATCTCAGCTAGGCTTGACCATTGTCAATGGTTGATGTGACAGGCATCAAAGAATTTTGTCGTCAATCTTTGAAGTGCTTCTTTGGTTCCCCACTGTCGCGATAGCCAGTGGAGAGCACGTCGTACAATAGGATTTTAGACAGGCCATGATTCTCCATCCTGAAACATATCCAGCCCAGCGTATCTGGGACTTCAGCAGCATGGGATCAAGGATTTCAATATTTGTGACGAAGTCATTCCAGTGGATGTTAATATATATATATATATATATATATATATATATATATATATATATATATATATATATATATATATCGGACGTTGATATATATATATATATTTGGCTCATTCTTATGCTAGTTCTCCCATTTCTTTCTCTGAATCGAAATGGAGAAGTGAACACCATAAGGTTATTAGATCCCTTTAAGGATAACCATTCTTTGGTTATTACTAAACCGGATAAGGGATCTGGTGTTGTCCTCATGGACCGCCATGACTACATTAACAAAATGTTAACTATATTGAATGACCCTTCCAAGTTTCAACGTCTTGGTTCCATTGACACTCATGATTCTACATTGACTTCTGAAATTCGATTTCAGAAACGTCTTATCAAATGGGTAAAAGTGGTGTTCTTTCCTCTAAAATGGCGGAGGAATTGAGACCGTCTGGTTCTATTCGTCCCCGTCTATATGGATTACCGAAGATTCATAAGGAGGGTGTCCGTTGAGACCCATATTATCGATGATTGGGTCTTCACAGCATAAAGTCGCAAAGTGGCTTGCTATAATGTTGCAACCAGTGTTGCAGCATTACAGTTCCTTCTGTATTAAAGATTCATTTTCTTTTTCCAAATTCATTCGGAATTGTGATGCCACTAATGGATTTATGTGTTCCTTTGACATCTGTAGCCTCTTCACTTGTGTTCCTTTATCGGAGACTATTGATATTTGCAGCGATATGTTATATCGCAGTGATTTGACTCCTCCGAATATACCTGAAGAAGTGTTCGTTGAACTCATGAAATTTGCCACTATGTTTGTCGATTTCAGTTTCGACAATATCATGTATCGCCAGATCGATGGTGTAGCGATTGGACTTGCTGTTCTGCGCTTCTAGCAGCTTGGTTGATATAATTTTATCTTTCCTTCCTTCCCTGTCCATTCATTCATGTCACCCATGACAGACTTTTTCTTTTTTCCTCATAATCTAAATTCCCCGTTAACAGTTCTGACGAGAGGGGACGAAACCGGTCGACTGGTGTGTGTTTTATTTTAAACTTATCATGGCCTGCAATACAACATTTCTAGTTTTTAATGCCTTAATACGCTTTTGTACCGTTTCTAACCTATTTAAATATATATATATATATATACATATCGGACGTTAATATATATATATATATATATATATATATATATATACATATCGGACGTTAATATATATATATATATATATATATATATATATATATATATATATATATGTATATATATATATATATATATATATATATATATATATATATATATATATATATAAGGATATTACATGAAAACCATCTAAAAACCGTACACGAATGCAATCATGTTTCGCATTTCATCGGGCGATAGTAAATAACACACACACACAAAAAGACACACACACACACACACACACACACACACACATATATATATATATATATATATATATATATATATATATCATCATGGATTGGCTTCACAAAACGAAGATCAAGGGGAAGTCTGTACACGTCGCTTGCCGGCAAGATAAGTCCAATGCGGGACAGTCATACACGATCGCAGTACTTGCAGCTGAATATCCGTCCAGGGCTCGATGGCATAGCATTGCGGTACTTCCTTCTCTGCCTCTTGTCCCTGAGAGAGGCCCAGCAGGTATTTTCAAAGAAGGAGACAGCATGGTTGGTAGTGAGACGCCAGACGTCACGGTTCTCAGCTAGGGTTGACCATTTGGCAATGGTTGATGTGTTAATAGAAACCATATTTGAATTAGGCGCTAAATTGAAATGAAAAATACATAAAAATCTAAAGTAAAATAACCAGAAAAATTTATATGAAAAATACATAAAAATCTAAAGTAAAATAGTCAGAAAAATTCAAATGAAAAAAACATAAAAATTTAAAGGAAAATAATAAAACTTTAAATGAAAATAAATAATTTGAAGGAAAATAAAAGGAAAAATTTAAATGAAAAATAAATAAAAATTTTATAAGAAAATAATCAGAAAAAATTTAAATGACAAATATATAAAAAATTTTAAAGGAAAATAAAAATAAAAATTTAAATGAAAATTACATAAAAATTTAAAGTTAAATAGTCAGAAAAATTTAAATGAAAAATACATAAAAATTTAAAAGAAAATAATGAAAATTTTAATGAAAAATACTTAAACAATTTAAAGTTAAATAGCCAGAAAATGAAAATACATAAAAATTTTAGAAGAAAATAATCAGAAAAAATTAAATGACAAATACATAAAAATTTAAAGGAAAATAATGAGAAAAATTTAAAAGAAAAATGCATAAAAATTTAAAGGAAAATAACGAGAAAAAAATGACAAATACATAAAAATTTTAAAGGAAAATAATAAGAAAAATTTAAATGAAAAATGAATAAAAATATTATAAGGAAAAATAATCAGAAAAAAATTAAATGACAAATACATCAAATTTTAAAGGAAAATAATAAGAAAAAAATTAAATGACAAATACATAAATAGTAGACTCTAATGAAAAAAGTAGTTCTGATCAGGCATCTAGGTAATAAGAATCAAAACATGCTAAATTCTTATCGGTTAAGAAGAATTGCTCTCCACCTGCCGAAGGAAAAATAAGACAAAGAATAGTTTCAGAACAGTGGGGCGAGGGCGAAAGACGACGTGATTAAGAAAATAAAATGGTTCGAAAAGAACTAGAAACAATAGAAGAAAGAGAGATCAGCTTATCCTCAGAGTCCGAATCAAGGAGACGATTAAGAGAAAATCTTTCTTAAGAGAGACTTAATAGGATTTCAATCCAGTTCCCTGTCAAAGTATCCAGTGCAATGAGTCTAAACATAGCACAGGGGCAAAGGTTTCAGAAGGTAGGTGTCAATCTTCAGGATCAAATCTTTACTCTTGAACAATTATATGTCACTCTTTCAAGAGTTGTAGATCCTGAAAAGCTCTTCAATTATTCAGAAGAGTACAGTATTAAAAAGCGAATGTGTCGTTAAAACGATTTTTTAAACTTGCTAGATATTAAATAGAGGGAATTTTGACATAGACAAAATATATGCCTGTATTAATCATATATTAGTATACTATTAATATGGATGTATATTCTGTCTTTAGGAAATGGGCACAATCGTTTTAATTCTAGATCAAGCTCTGAATATATGACAAACGAAATCCGGTAAGATATTTTCTCTCATTTTTCCTTTTCGATTTACCATTTCGGATAAATATAAAAGTTTATTTTTTTCTGTCGCTTATGTTTTTGGTCTTATCCTCTTCTCTGTGTTTTAAAATGTCTCTTTTAATGAATATAATAAAATGTTGTACTCCCAAGAAAATATGTAATTTCCATAATACACATGAAATATTAATTTAAAATTTAAATGAAAGGTGAACTTGAAAGCTATTGTCATAGCATTTTACTTCTTTTTTTTAAAGTTGTCAAAAATCTGTTCGACATCTTTTCCATCAATACTGAACCTCAGTTTGCACGCAAAAATGAAAATTGCATGAATTCATTGTGTAAATCCGACTTGTTGAATTTATATTTTAAGTGATGAAAGTACGACGTCTAAGATTTGCTAAGATTTTACATTTGGGAATTTGAAAATTTATTCGTGATTAAAGATTATTATAACGTTCTGAATATTGAGAGCTTTTTGAATTTTACATGAAAACAGACTGGATATGAATAAATATCACGAAAATGAGAAGAGTAAGGCATCAGTTTAATAAAATACCTTCTTCGTTTAGTATGTAGGCGGTCATACCTCTCCACAGCTTTCTTTTTCATTAAAACCTGTAAATTATGTATTACATTGATGGTGATACAAAATCCGTGAAGTTTACAGAAAAAGAAAAAGAGGAATTACCTAAAATAACCTGCCAAGGGCTTCTCTTAACCCTCGCTTCGTGGTGTTGTTGGTTGTTTTTGTTTAGCGGCATAGCAACACCTCTATGGGTTATTTAATGCCGAAATCCAAATATTTTGTACGCAATTTTATTTTATTTCATATTTTGAAATTCTAATTTTATTTTTTTTAGTGATACAACCTTTACTAACTGACCCATAAATGTTGAGAGAAGAGATGATTCATACATTTTCCAAAGGTATTTGCGCATGGGGGAATTTAACGAACGCTACTGGAATTGGGACTCGGCTCTCCGATTAACAATTCCGAGCCATAAACCATTACACCACCCGCACGTCCAAACTAAAAGCAGCTGGAATTCCCAAGCGATCAGCCATCTAGGTAATTACCAGAATCGACGTTGCTTAACTTCAGTGATCGTACGAAAGCCGCTCATTCAACGTGATGTGGCCGAAAACCTGGAGTTTTTATAGAATGTAGCACTAAAGAAATGGAGATAAAACCTTCTTTTTCTTCTTTTTCTTTTTTTCCTTTTCAACAACCAGACCGGTTTACTAAAATAAACCCTTTAAATGCCTGAACATATGGGGAAGGCCAAAGAAGGCATCTGCCGAAACGGAGCTCTAAAACCGAAAACAATAAGAATATAAGAACAACGCGTGCTATAATATGAATGACACCTCAAAATAGTTGACAACGGTTAAGGATTTCTCAACTATGGAAATTAGGCACAAAGCATCATTTGCATGAATCGAAAACCCTTAAAGAACAAGAACGACTTCTTTAGTAGGAATTTACATTCTAAGGAAAACACACCACTGTTAATTTTAAACGTATTTGTTTATATGAACGACTCCGAAGTTGGGTGATTATCCTTGAAAATCGAATTGTCGCTAGAGGGCGTGCCTTTGGCTGAATATAGAATCACCAACTATTAATGAAATCTGAAGGCGATTAGGGATAGCGAAAAAAATGCATTCTAAAAGCTAAGCAAACGATTAAGAAACGGGAAAATTTCGTTAGAAAAAAAAGAGAGAAGTGTAATGAACTGTTACGTAATATCAGTTCTTGTGAAGAATAGATCTGAAGCAACAGAACTGTCGTTCTACTGACAAAAACATGAAATAAAACTTATGAGCAACGACCATGTATTAGAGAAAATTGAAGCCTAAAGGATATTCACACTTAACATCATGAAGAAACATTTAAAATTTCCAGGGTACATTGAGAGGAACGAGGGCTTGGAATATTTGATATTAGCAGGATGGACAGAGGAACACAATGCATAACCTACCTAGCGAGCGGAACAAGGTTTAGGAGAGATAACAAAAAGACAAAAAATATTGAGAAGCAACAAAGGACGGAATAGTGGAGAGCCATGATCGCCAACGTCCTGAAGTAACACGGCACAAAGAAAAAAAGAAGAGGAGGAGGAGGAAGAGAAGCTTCACGGCGAAGGTTACTAAGTCTTCGTAAACGACAGGGTTCAAACAGTGACCGAGGATTAACATGACCATTACATTTTACAAAGAGGAAATAAAAACTTGATGAAAAACGACATCGTGTCTGTGGTACATTGTCCTTATAAACTTCAGAAGTTTGATCATTCATGACAACCTTCAGGGTCCTACCTGAGGGAAAGGCCTTGATGATTATATAGATATCATAGTTGGAATTTGTACTGAAAAGCGCTTATGCTACACCTTGTTTTAATTAGCTGACATCAGATGATAAAGGTGGGGCTAAACGTGAAGAAATATCAGTAACAAATGTAAGTGAAAATTTGTGAGAAAAGAGAAAAAGAAATGGATAAAAAGGTTGTTTCAGTTTAAAATATCAGGTATAAGAAGCTTAATGAATGTAAGAATCAAGAAAAAAAGGTAAAAGGAACGCAAGGTGAATGGAGAGAATAAAAGAAATGATGAAATAAATAAAAAAAAAACGATTTTTTATCAGTTTTCTATGCTATTGTCTGTGTCCATGCGCGCGCTTTCTTTCTCGTCACAAACAGGTTTGCTTAAATGCGCACATCCATAACAGCGTAAATAGAAGCCATATTTGAATTACGCGCTAATTGAAGCAAGGATGAATTGCATTGTTTGAATACTACCTCTACTACTACTACTACTACTACTAATAATAATAATAATAATAAGAAGAAGAATAGGAAGAAGAAGAATAAGAAGAATAAGAAGAAGAACAAGAACAATAATAATAATAATAATAATAATAATAATAATAATAAGAAGAAGAAGAAGAAGAAGAAGAAGAAAAAAAGACATTTGCATAGTAACAGAAGACATGGATCCAAGTTTATCAATATCGAAGTACTTCATGCAGCACTGCGCGTGCGCATGCATGCGTGCGCATGCGGGTTACCGTGCATATGACGTGGACACATTCCACGGGTGCATTTTAGTGGCAACGTTTGTATATTTAAACGCAACAAATTTTGTCGACAAAATGTTCGTAAATGACTTGCTTTGTTTGGTTGCACGCTCTATAAATACATCCGTGGGTTTAGATGCTTCAAATAACTTGGATATATCTGCTCTTGAATATATTTAGGGAAAGATTTTGTATGCAAACATTTTCTTGTTTGCTTTTTCTCTCCGATATGTCTTCAATCTTCTGTATTCATCCATTCATATAGCTATGCGTTTCTGACACACACACACACACACACACACACACACACACACACACAGAGACTATGAATACATTTTCTTTACCAAGGCGTTACGTTCCCTGATAGACTCTATTAAGGTAATATGTTACAGCATTCTTAAATTTAAAATTTAGAAAATTTAATATTTTTTCTTAAATTTACGTCTGTTTATAAATACATGTTGCAAAATACAATCATTATATTTGTCTTGACAATGTCTCTCATGCAACGAAAAGCGTTGGTAAACAAAAGTTATCCTTTTCTCATTTTATATATATATATATATATATATATATAAGTTATGAAAAACTTGGTAATCCGTATGGTTAATTCAAGGAGGATGAAATTCTGAGAGCTCAATGTAAATCCAGAGCTAATATTTAAAAAAAAAAACAGACCACTCAGATAGCACTTTCAAAAATGAAACGTTTCATTTTTGGAAGTGCTATCTGGTGATCCGGATTTCTTAAACTGGTCTGTTTTTCTTAAATATATATATATATATATATATATATATATATATATATATATATATATAATGACTGGTTACTCATTTCTAAGCAAGCCGGCTACTAGGGCGTCTAGACAGTCCCTGTTGCAGACGGCTGCTCAAACATATTTGTGCTTTCTTTACACCGGCAAAGAGCCTACTTTTGGATTTACTTCAGTTATAATGAGCGCGATTTACACCCTTCGGCAAATTAATTGAAACAACCGCTTTAGTTTCCTTTCTTTCACCATACGGTCAGATTTGGACCCCCTGGAGTGACAGGATGTAATCGATATTTATTTTTCCTCAGATTAGCTCATTTGCAGTGGTATGCAGTTATATGAATCTATTTTCGAGGTGTATGATGAAATTTCTTTTGCCTTGAAAAATATTGCCTCATCCGTGATTGCATCACAATTTTATCACGCCCAGACACTATTGTCTCGACTGTCGATTAGTTGTCTTACGGCCATTGTTTGCGTTGGGCGTTACTCCAGCGAAGCGGACGAGAATTGTAACGCTGGACAAACACACCGGCAAGCCATACCAGTGAGCAAATCAAAGTACTATATATTGGCCCGGAAACTCCTCATTTAAATCCAATCGAGAATCTGTGGTCAGTCTGCAAGAAACGACTTCGTGGAATGGACATATAAAGTACTAACGTGTACACTTGGGCTTTATTCATAGGAAAGTACGAAATAAAAGTAAATAATAACGGAATTATTCGTTTAACTTCAATTAATTCGCACCAGGGTGTAGTTACAGTTTCTGTGAGATTGCGCATCACCTGTCATGAACACGCCTAATACGCTCAAAGTCTCGGTCACGATGGCTTTTAACTTCCTGCTAGCATAACCATCGACGGCCTCGGACAGTTTCCTCTACCCATTTTCACTCACAAAGCATGGGTTAAGATGCGATATAGTTTCCCAATAGTTTCCAAAGGAGCCGCCAGCTTCTATCGCCCCACAGCTTATATCAAGTGGAATCACCTTTCTGAGAAATCGGCCATAGTTCAATTGCCATAACTTGATTATACCAGGTGTAACAGCAAAATTGTCCAAAGTTTGTACCAGCATATTCGTCCATCCCACAAAATTTTTAATATCTAAGAATCCACTAAACCAATTGAGTTTCTTTTTTCCACGTTTTCCGGCAAAACATTTAGCAATCTTGACAGCATTTGCCGTAAGAATCACTGAAAAACCCCTTGAGATATTCAGCTAGAAAGAGAACAGGTAAAATCGTTTTGTGTTAGCCCCACTGCCTTCCCAACGAAGCAATGGTGAGATCATTCAGGCCTTCAGTAATGGAACCAACATTCATACTGTATCTTTCATCTCCAAAGTCCATTCAAGAATCAGCAAGAGAACGGTGAATAAGTTCAAAAAAGAGGGAACAGTAGAGAGGAAACCTGGATCAGGACGTCACAACAGGAAGAGGGATCATCATTTCCATTTAGTGCTAAAGTGATCAATTAGAAAAGATCCAACACAATTCCTAAGGCGTTTGGTTCGTGAAAAAGGAGTTTCAACTATGACAGATCAAAGTGCAGTGAAAGAACACTTGAAAATGAAATTGTACGTGAAACGTATGAGGCAGATTCTTTCTCCAGGACATAAAGTTAGAACGTTAGAGATCATCTTGAATAAATTGGAAAATGATCCCGGAATATATATATATATATATAT